GTTGATATCTTTGGGATGAGACTTGATGGTTTCCATATTCATTTTCTGAATGATCACTTAGCGATCTATAATCTCTTATCATTGGAGATTGACTGGTAGCCATTAGCCTTGTACTGTCTTCACCAAGAATTGCATGTTCTTTACGCTTGTAAAGTGATGGACGCATCTTTTGTAACCAGGATGTCACATGCCATTGTTTGTCTGATGCTTGCTTTTGGCTATCCTGATAACTGCAGCTTTTTTCTGATTGGGATGGAAGTTCTTGAACGTCTTGCTTGCGTCTGTAGAGGCTCTGTCTCAAAGTTTTGGTAGTTTGTAATTGTGCTGGTTCTATTTCAGAGTAGGAATTTCGGGCCATTGAGGTGCTTCGAATAAAGCTTGTACGTCCATAAAGTGTTGTTCTTTTTAGAAATCGGTTCTCACTTCCCATATTGTAGGAGTCTGTGTCATCACAATCTTTGTAAGCAGCGCCATTGGACTGACTAGGTTTTTCGAGCAGTAGTTTCTGCAAGGATACTTTTTCTCTGGTATAAGTCTCCATCTTGTAGAATATAAGATCACCACAAGCAAATGTTGTCTTTTAACTGTAAAATTAAAAAATAGTTTATTCAGTTTATAAATTACAAAAGAAAAATCATGTTACTGTAAATTTTAGAAGGGTATGTTTTTAAAAACATGGAAAGATTAAAATAATAAATCATTTAGTATGTAGATGTAGAATCTTGAATTTTTATCAGATGAAGGTTATTGACAATTATTTTTAATTTTTTTTTCATTTTAATTTCAGTTGTTTTTCATTGCAACTGCTCAGACCATCATTCTGTGGCTATTAGTAAGCAGGGCAGATTGGAAATAAGATAAATACTCAAGTTTAACAAATCTGCAATGCTCTTGACATCTTGGTTTCAGTCACTCTCCCACCATCGTCATCTAGCTTCCTCTGTGCCTTTTCTATAATTATCTTCAAGGTATTTGTTCTGATGAGTTTCCTCTTTGGTACTGAGGCTTGAATAATTTAAACTCAGTACTAAATTGGCTGTAAGGTCTCATCATTTAGAGTTGAAATAGCTAGATGTAACCTTTAGTTTTATAACATTTCCTTCTCTTGAACTTCTCACTTGTGGAACTCTTTTATTGCTTTCGAGTCAATTTTGATCTTCAAAAAAATTAAATGCAATGTCAATCACTATGTTCTGTCTTAATTCCTACTCTTTTTTTTCTTTAATATTTTTTTTTTATCTTTCTGTTGTATCCTTAAAGGAAGTTACAAACAGACAAAGGTGGTACTTGAGTGAAGAAACAGCAACATGTGCGTAGATGAAAGAAAGGTTTATTGTAAAAGAGAATACACTACTGAAAGACAGGGAATCAGCAGGCTAGTAATTCTCCAACCAACCAAGACCGCCAGGTATATCCTGCGCTTAATATATATATCTACTGATATAGTCAGTCCATATATGTGATAGGGAATGTAGGATATTCCATTACAAAACTTTCGCACTCTGTAACCCCTTGCATCTTAATGGCTTTATTGCCTTGCTTGGGGTTTAAATAATTAAAAAACAAAGCAAAAAAAGAACCAAAAACAATGATGTGTCAAAAAAGAGATTTTTTTTTTTTTTCTATTGACACTGTAATTCCTGTATATTCCCTCTGCAATTTTTGTTTTAAAAAGCTATTCTTAGAATTTTAATAAAACTTGGACATGAAACTAGTTTTATTTACACCTTTCCTTTTTTTCTCAAGAAATGTCAACAAAATTATTAGATTGTTTACTTATAAGAATAAATTTATATTGACAAAATTATAAAAATATGTGAAGCAACTATTATGTAATATTTATTATTTACTATATTTACATTTACTGGAGATACGATTTACACAGAGAGCAAGAGCAAGAAACAAAGGCTTTCCACCAGGGAGAAGTGTACTCGACAGAAAGAAAATAACAAGGTGTCATCGAAGGAGAGTATCTTTGTATGTATTCTTTGCAATTGAGACTGTCACTCCTGTGTGGGCCTGTACAGCCATAGCTGATGCTGCTCACCATTAGCAGCTGAAGCATAACTCTTTGAGCACAGATCCAAGGTTTCTAAGACCAATGGATGACACACCATATTATACAAAAATAATTGAAAACAAAATTTAAATAAGCACCTCCATGATGAGTAACTGTATCTGTAAACTTGTAAAAAAAAAAATCAAAAAAAATCTGGGCATTTGTTCTCACTACATATTCACTAAAATAGGTTGAGAGCTGAGTAAAAATGCATAAATCCAGTTTTATATCTTTAGATTTTTATTAAACTTCTAAAAATAGCTGTTTAAAGCAATAAAAATTGCAGGGGGGAGTATACAGTAATAGTGGTTCCAAGAGAAAAACACCTAGAAAATTTGATAAACAAAAAAAGGCAAAGAAGTCCCTCTCCAGACCCCAATGATTCAGTGACAAAGAAAAAGTCAAAAGTTACACAGTTGTCTCTCATTTATTGTGGTTAATCAGTTCCAAACCCTATGTGAATTTCTGTGAAGTAGGATTCTTTTATTTATAAAGATAAATGTATATATAAGTGTAAGGTAGGGGTGTGTAATTGTCTCGGGCAACCAAGTGTACACTGTATTATTTTCACTGTCTATATCAACTGAAGGATCAGCTGTGTGTCTTCTCCTGAAATCTGGGCAAGAACTTTTTCCAATTCTGTAGTAGACCATAGTCAACCATGAAGCAACAAGGAACCTAGAAAATCTGATAAACAAAAAAAGGCAAAGAAGTCCCTCTCCAGACCCCAATGATTTGGTGACAAAGAAAAAGTCGTTACACAGTTGTTCCAGACACTATGTGAATTTCTGTCAAGTAGGATTATTTTATTTATAAAGGGACACAGTACATAGAAGTCTGGTATAAGGCCATGAGCATAGAACACTCAACAATGATTGAATTCATGATAGTAGTAATGATCATGATCGTAATTATCTGTAAGATTAACTTTCTAATCACTAGTGTGGCACACTCGTGAATTTACTAGGCCTAGTCTGGCACAAGGCCATAAGCATAGAGCACCAGGTAATGCTTAAATTCATTATAGTAGTAATAATCTGTAAGACTAGTTTTCTGATAACTACATTGTGGCATCCTCAAAGAGATTTACAAAAGTTAACCGTCTGTCCTCTTTTATGGCAGTGAATGCTGGACAATCCCCACCACAGATGAAGAGAGAACTGTAGGTAACAAGTGTGGTTCTACAGAAGGATGCTGAGAATAGCATAGAATCAGAAAGAGACAGTTGGAATTTCCTGAACACATAATGAGGAAAGAAGACTTGGAGAACTTAATTCTCAGATGACATATCAAGGGTAAGCGAGATAGAGGAAGGCAGCACACCACTTAGCTTAGGTTGTGGAGAGCCATCATCACTCATGTTCAAGACATGACACAGAAGTGCCTGGACTATGAGTTTAAGTGTGCTACTTGATTGGCATCTCGGTCCTACCTTTTTACTGTTGAATTTATTAAAATGTAACTGCCACTTCTACTCCAACAGTTTATTTTCTCACACTTCCCGGGAAATCCCTTCTGTTTTTTTTCTTCCCTAATAACTACAATCTTCAAAAATTTAAATTCAACTTCTATCTTCTTGAACCCCATTCAGATTTTCTTTTCTCGGTCTCCACTATACCCTGTCTTTTCCCTCACCTTCACTCTCTGTAAGCCTTTTAACAGTGACATTCCCACCTTGCTTGGGTTGAAATGATTTTAAAAAAAAAATAAGACTAATAAATCACATTGTTTTATTTGTCTATTTGTCACAAATTAAAGTAACAAAAAATTCCATTTCCAGAACATTATCAGATTTTTTTGATGAATTTCTGGGATGAATAGTTGCCGTTATTTACACTGTTTACATGCTGTCTGTTGCCCCCATTTTTGTTGCTGTGATTACAATATTTTGATCATTGTGTTCTCCAGCCTTCATGTTAGTTCAGTTTTTACTTTTCTCTTGGAGAGCAAATTTTCTTTTATAATCTAAAACAATTACTAAAGTTATTTTGCAATACGCCATCTTGTGAACAACTGATAGTTTGATCCATTATTACAAAGATGTTTTAAAGTCTACTCAATGTTTATATCTGCCTTTCATATTTTATTTTGGCAAGTTGTTAAACCCAGGAAAAAATTTATCTTTGAAAAAAAATCTTATCTTACTTTTTGGTTCAAAGGAAAAAAAGAAGGGCATAATTGGAGTACATGAAAAGTTAGTAAAATTATCTATGGAAGGATATTATTACAATGTATAAGGCAGTGTTGTGTTTTAGGAAATTCCTGGGTTTCCTTCATTCCTCAAAAATACTTTTGTTACCCCCACCCATTGAATTCTCATATTTTATTTTATTTTAGTTTTTATTTTCCTTGTTTTTGTTTTTCTCTTTTAGTCAGTTTCGCATCTCTCTCTTAGTCTGTGTTTCGCATCTCTCTCTTAGTCTGTGTTTCGCATCTCTCTCTTAGTCTGTGTTTCTCATCTCTCTCTTAGTCTGTGTTTCTCATCTCTCTCTCTTAGTCTGTGTTTCGCATCTCTCTCTCTTAGTCTGTGTTTCGCATCTCTCTCTCTTAGTCTGTGTCTCGCATCTCTCTCTCTTAGTCTGTCTTTCCATCTCTCTCTCTCTTAGTCTGTGTCTCTTGATCTCTCTCTCTCTTAGTCTGTCTCGCATCTCTCTCTGTTAGTCTGTCTCTCTTAGTCTGTGTCTCGCATCTCTCTCTCTCTTAGTCTGTGTCTCCATCTCTCTCTCTCTTAGTCTGTGTCTGATCTCTCTCTCTCTTAGTCTGTCTCTCTCTCTCTCTTTAGTCTGTGTCTCGCATCTCTCTCTCTCTTAGTCTGTGTCTCGCATCTCTCTCTCTCTTAGTCTGTGTCTCGCATCTCTCTCTCTCTTAGTCTGTGTCTCGCATCTCTCTCTCTCTTAGTCTGTGTCTCGCATCTCTCTCTCTCTTAGTCTGTGTCTCGCAGATCTCTCTCTCTCTTAGTCTGTGTCTCAGATCTCTCTCTCTTAGTCTGTGTCTCATCTCTCTCTCTCTCTTAGTCTGTCTGTCTCTCTCTCTCTTAGTCTGTCTCTCTCTCTCTCTCTTAGTCTGTGTCTACATCTCTCTCTCTCTTAGTCTGTGTGTCTCTCTCTCTCTCTCTTAGTCTGTGTCCTCGCTTCTCTCTCTCTCTTAGTCTGTGTCTCTCTCTCTCTCTCTCTTAGTCTGTGTCTCGCATCTCTCTCTCTCTCTCTTAGTCTGTGTCTCGCATCTCTCTCTCTCTCTTAGTCTGTGTCTCGCATCTCTCTCTCTCTCTTAGTCTGTGTCTCGCATCTCTCTCTCTCTCTCTTAGTCTGTGTCTCGCATCTCTCTCTCTCTCTCTTAGTCTGTGTCTTGCATCTCTCTCTTAGTCTGTGTCTCGCATCTCTCTCTCTCTCTTAGTCTGTGTCTCAAGATCTCTCTCTCTCTTAGTCTGTGTCTCGCATCTCTCTCTCTCTCTTAGTCTGTGTCTCGCATCTCTCTCTCTCTTAGTCTGTGTCTCGCATCTCTCTCTCTCTTAGTCTGTGTCTCGCATCTCTCTTGTGGGTTTCACTCTGTGTTTTGCTTCTTGATTTCTCTCTTTCTCTTTTCAGTGTGTTTCACCCCTTTCTCTTACTCGGTGCCTTTTCCTTTCCTCTTTTTTTCCATTGTTCTTCTAATTCTCTCTTTCTCTCCCTTTTTAATCCCCAAATTCCATTCCTGCTTATAGACCCATTCTCCAATCTCTCAAAGAAATATAAACAAACCTAGTCCTTTAATCTGTTATATCTTAGACATATTTGTTCAACTTTTCACTGTGTCAAATCTTGTGCCATGTTAATCATGTGTAACTTCTTTTCCACTTAAGATTATATCAAACTGAAATTCAGCCTTTCTAAACAAACTGTCAAATCCTATTCTTTCATAGTCTGAAGTTGTTGACATTTATCAATTAGTCTTTTACAATCACACAAATGTACTGACCCGTGCTTCTATTTGAAAGATGTAAATAAAATAAAAAATATCTGACTCAAAACTAAAATTTTTATTTATTTTTCATTGCATCTTAACCAGTTACTTCCTGTTGCTATTCTCTTATTTACATTATTTATATTTGGACTAAAAGTGGAACCAATTTTCCATTTCAAATTTTCCTTAATTCTGTTTCAGATTTTAGGGAATTCTGTTTTCAGTATAGATTTTTGTTTTTGCTTTTGCTTTATTATAATACTTAGTGAGAAAGTGTAACGATATATAAATGATATTAAAAAAAATAAAATAAAAGGAAAATGAAAAATTTTACTATCTGGAATATCCACCTATTGGTTAAGTTGCTCCAGCTTGATAGGCTTTCGTGCCTCATACTTTTGCCCTTAATCTAACTTTGAGTTTCTGGGACAACTCTTGCTAAGAATGATACAATCCTAAATTAGAATTAAGTGAAAGTGGCAAAACCTACAGAAAAGTAGCACCACAAAGTCATCTTGAGGCAAAAAGCCACATTATCATTGGGTCACTTTATTGAGACAAATTTTAAGAATTGGACTTTTTACAAAAGTTCAATTCGTAAAATTTGTCTTTCTGAAAAGATAAACTGTCTCTCACATCTGTCACCATATATGATAGGAAAAAGAAAGGAGAAAACAAAAAGATAAAATTTTTGTCTCCTCTTTTTCTATTATTAAATCAAACCAACTTCGTAAAACTTGATTCCTAAATACTGTAAGCTGTTGGGCATCTATGTCCAAAGTCTGGGCCAATTATGGCCTGCAGTCAAAATTCATATGCCTCTCCCCCTCCATTCTGTTATAGAGTTGTATCATGTATGGCCTGCCAGTATTGTCAATCAGAGTATGTAAAATACACACCGAAGAAATACAGTTTCCATGAAGATGGGAAAACAAAATGGCCTACTTGAAACTGAAATCACTTTTTTCTAACAATCAGATTTGTCAACTGCCATTTTAACTTTTTTGCCTTTTCTAACTCACTTGCCCAACAGACGTCAAAAGATAAAGTTGGTAATATTTTAATACATCCCCCTTGGCTACTGTCTCCCTACAGCAGGGGTGTCCAAATTTTTTTCAAAGAGGGCCAGATCGATACATTATGATAGCAACAACAAAGATGAGGACAATAATGTTAATAATGATAATTCCCTCATCCCAAAAATTCAGACAGAAACTAACAGTATTTATAAAATTTGAAATCTTTGAAGGAAAGAAGAATGTAGCTTTAGTGATGTATATGAGTATCTATTTTGTTTTGATGTCTATTAGTATCTATTTTGGTTGCCTAGTTTGACTATTCTGAATTTCCCCCTCCTTGTCAAATTCCTGAAATTCCATGTTCTTGCTTAAATAGAATTCTACAAGTTGTTAAATCACTTGTGATGAAATTAGAATAAACTCATTTGTTAGATCCAAAAATGTTTGGGACTTCTCCAAAGATAAAGCAATTCTATATAACCCTGCCATTAAAATACCAATGCACACCATACCATTTTGGGGAGACAGTGGCATTAATGGGTTAAAGAAAGAAAACTATAATTTTTTTAATTGGTATCACCCCATGCAGATCAGTAAAATCAGTAAGACACAAGGGGTTATAGTGTGTGGAAGAATTAGAAACAGAAGCACTAACAATGGGTGAGAAGAGGGAAGAGTAATCTAGAGGACATTAGATAGCGATTGACATTGCATTTAAATTTTTGCAGATTAAAGTTGGCAGAAAAGCATGGAGCCAGAAGGGAGTTCCACAAGCAAGAAGTGTGAGAAAAGAAACTGGTAACATAGAATTTATGGTTACATCTAGCCAGCTCAACTGTAAATTGATGAGATCTTGATGCCACTCTAGTACTGTGCTTAAATTCAAAAAGTCTAGGTACCATAGCAAAAAGCTCATCCGAACAATCATTATGAAAATATTTATAGAAAAGGCACAGAGAGGCAACCTTATGTGGTGGGAAAGTGTCTGAAGCTGAGCTGCCAGATCAGTACCAATAATATTGCTGATTCTTCTTTGGATTTTATCAAGGAGCTCAAGGTAAATAGCAGGAGTGTTAGACCTTATGTGGCAGAAATACTGTAAGCATAAATATTGAATTTTTATAAGCTGATAAAATACTGGATTTTTATTTTTATTATACCAGATTTTATTTTTGGTAATCCCACAGAAATTTTTTATGACCTATCTTTAGTAAGTCTTTTCAAAGATTATCTGAAAAAGAGGATAGCTTTCAGTTTTAAGTAGCATAGTACCCATCAGTAATGGTAACATTATTTATATTTATGTATGAGTCAGGACTTCAGCCAAAGATCAGAGTGTAGTATCTGCACACTCTGTCACGGATCTGTTATAGGCTTATAGCCGCATCACATTGAAACAGTTTCACATATGATCACCAAAGTTAAGCAACATTGATGTCAGTACCAAGCTATGTGTTAATTAGTAAAATTTGTATCACTAAAATTATTATCTGAAAAAAATTTTCTGGCTTTAAATAACTTGCAAAGTGTTTATAAGCTGTAGAAAATTAATTTAAAAAAAATAAAACATCTACAATATCTGTGTGCTCTCAGAAAAGTGTTATAGACACAATGTGGCTATAACTTCCACAGCAGAATTGGAGAAAGCAAGGGAGATAAGTATTGGGTGAGAAATAAAGTGTGAAGAAGGAAATGGTGAAGATGAGTATGAAAGCTGGAGAAAAATTAAAAGAAATGCAGGTGAAATTAAGCTCTTTGAGAATGGCAAGACCTAAAACTTACATACATTTTTATTGTTACAAACATACAAACCAAATTAGCACATTGGCCACATGAGAATAACCAACTTGTACTTGCTGAACAACGACAATCAACCATTATGCCAAGCATGTGAAACCACATAAACTATTAAACATATATTAACTGAATGTTCAGACCTTACTCTTTCAAAACAAAAATGCTGTAATATAAACATGTATAAATTCTTTGAGAAAGCAAAAATGGATGACATAATATTATTTCTTAAAACGGTGGACCTATACCAAAAAAGTGTAAACTAAATGAGAATTTCAATAAAACCAATTTCTCTACAAATTGTTTATCTGAAACCAGACTCTTGACAAAAACCTTCTTTACAAAAACATGTCAATGAAACCTGATCTACAAACTGATTTCTTACAATGAATGCATATTCTATTCATACAAATCTATCCGAAAAATCTTGTCAGCATTAAACAACCCATTGAAGTTGATATGCTGTAAAACAATATAAAGCAAACTAAATTGGTTACATTCCATCATTGCTGATCAGACCCCGAACTACCAGCAGTCAATGAACTGATGTCTTCTCTGGGAGGCACCGTGCATTGAAAACCTATTGGACCTTAGACTCACACCTGACCTCAAGTGAAACTCTTACATATGACCTATTGCTAAAGGTAAAAATGGTTGGCTCCTTTACTGTACCTGACTCCTTATGCCATCCTCTACCTTTACAAGATCCAGATTAGGTGAAAAATGAGGTACTTTTGTTATATTTTGGGTGGGAGCTACCCAGGCCTAACTTTTGAGCTTCTTGATAGCCCAAAAGCATCTCTGAACCTTTGTGGGTGATGAATTATTCTCCAACCTCTCTCTCACGGGCAGGATGTGTCGAGCCTTTCACTGCTCTATTACTATTTCCATGAAAAGTGCTCGGATAAACTATATTCCTTGGTTCCACCAGTTCAAACCTTCACGGCAAGGACATGCCATGCCACACCACTTACATAGTAGTAAACTACCCACATTCCCTTCATATTCCATCAGTGAGAAGTAAGTTCCATTTAAACAGCTTCTTCCAGTGAACCACTGTGGAACTGACTCCCGAGAGGATGTTTCCCTGATCACTACAATCTTAACCTGTTCAAGTTTAGCGTTAACTGTTATCTTCGCCTATCTGCACAAATTGCCTCTTAACGTAACCCTCTACCTTGAGTGTCCCCTGGGACTTGTACAGGGTGAACATTACTGTAAAAAAAATAAATAAATAAAAAGAAAAACATACATAAATATATATAGTTTTTTTTTTTTTTTCTTTTTAAACTTTTTACAGTTAATTTGTATTTTTATTGTATTTGTAATTCCGAAGTACATACATGGGGAGGTGCAAAAAGTTGTTGGTTTGACCCATTTTTCAAAATATAAGGGTACATTAACTTTTTAATACCTCTTTTTTGATCAGGCTGATAACTTTTCAGCACTCTACTTAACTAATGTTTCCAAAATATTGACTGAAAATTGAAATGAGTCATAGAGTAGTTTTGTTCGGTTTATTTTATTTTTAGAACTTTTTTTCAGAATTTAATTTTAGACTTGGATTTATGGATCATCTTGAAACCTAAGTCCCTCTGTAATTCTAACATGCTACTAAGAAAAGCCCATGAAATGTCAGTGCATCATGTAGCTTTCAAAGTTTAGCTAGCATTGGCATTACTGTAATTCTACTATGTTTGTAAAAATAGTCAAAATGACAGTTGATACTAAGCAAAAAAAAAAAAAAAAAAAAAACAAAAAAAAAAAGCAATAAGGAATTATTTTTAAAAAAAAATATTTAAGTAAATAAGAGAAACAACTTACCTTTTTTTTTTTTTTTTTTTTTGCCACTTAAAATGTGATACCCGAACGTAAAATCAAATCAAAAAGCTTCTTGTTCAGTTGGTAGCATCTGGAAGGAATTCCAGATTTTATGGAACTTCTTATATATTCACCTGAAAAAAAGAAACTAAATTTTATCTTTGGTCA